TCATTGAAGGAAATAAGTTACAGTTAATAAATAAAACAAACTTGCACATGACACTTGAAATAAAAAGCATACCGTCTATCTAAGACGTAGTAAGCTAACAATTCTGTCAGTACTGAATTGCTAGAAGGAACACTGTTTTTAACAAAGCAATGGCAGAAAAAGAAAGTTTCAACTGGCTTTACTAGTTAAGGGTGGAAAACAGAGTGACTAATGTTCTTAGCTACATCTAGACACAACCTTTGCTTCTTTAAATTAGCATATATTCTGCCTGTTCCCACGTGATTCCTTCATAGAGGAAAGCAATCGTGCAAAGATGCCAAAGGATTTACTGTTGCCTCTGTAGGATTAGCATCATACCATATCTCAAAAGTTGTGTTGATTCAAATCTTGCAAACCCAATCATTGTGGTTGATAAACCATTGCGTATGGCTTTGTATGTTGTATATACTCAGCCAATTGCATTTAATCAGTAAATTACAGTTAATGATGGTTTCGTATGCTGTGTGAACAAGCAACAGAACTGAGTCAAATGTAATGCAAATTCATTGACTCATGCCTAGTGAGGCTTTCTACTGTATTCAGTTTTGTAAATAGAGATTGCAAAATTGACTTACATTCTGATTTCTACTAATATATGTGATCTGTGAATTTTCCATAGAATGGAAACTGGTTTTAGCTGTTGGAATTGCATTTACAAGAATGGGGGCATTTTAAAAAAATGCTTCTGGCTCCCAGCTCCAACAAACTGAGCTATTGCTGGAAGCCAAGCTCACATCTTGTAACCACTGATGAACTCTATTTTGCTCTTACTTGTTTAAAAATTATGATAGGGTTATTCTAAACTCTAAAATCAGTCAGAACTATTCTCCCTATTTCCTGCTATTTACCTCTAGGGATCGATGATGAATTTGCAATTACTTTGCAATTATTGGAACATTTAGTTTGTCTCAACAAAGGTACTACCGCTGTGAATTTTTGTTTTTAGCTTATTTTCTCCCTTCCAAAGTGCAACAGCATAAATACAGCGGAGACAGGGGATACACTCACCATAGGACTGGCAGGCCTCTCCCTTTGTTGGCCACTCCTTGGTTCATGTCTCATGCCTTTAGCACCGTCAAGTTAAGGGAACAATGTCTGGGCTGCAAAAATCTGGACAACTATTGGTGGAAGTGAACAGAGTTTTCTGTATTTCTTTGCTGCTAATGGAAGCTGTAATGCAGGAGCATAATGGAAGAAAAAAGGCAGCATCAAGTGAGGAAGAAGCTCCATCATCTTTCTTTTATAGCAAGGTGATCTTTGTACATGCTTAAGTCTTAAAGAAACGTTATAGGGCTTTTATTTGTTTCATTTGTCCCAGTCTAGTTTGAGCTTCTCCATTTCTGGCATCTGAGTTTAGTCCCAGGGAAAGTGCAACAGGAATTTCAATTTCCTTTCTGGTGCAGGAACCATTTTTGTCCCTAGTTCCCTCTCCCACTCTTCTACCATTTTTGTTCCTAATTTTCTATTTGCTTCTCCAGTCTAAAAGGAGACATTCTGCAAGAGGAGATAGCAGCTGTGACAAGGCAGCATGCATTCAGGCAATGAACAGATGGAACAACTTATATTTTGGTTTTGGTTTACCATGAAATATGAAGCTGGCCAGGATAGCTTACGGAACAAACTTAGTTACCTTGTCAGGAAAAAAAACAGCTTACCAGACTGTGTAAACCAGGTCACAGCATGTTGAATATGTTCTTTAGTGACCTAACAAACTCATACATTAATGGTGTTCATTCAGAATCCTCTCTGGCTGTTGCTGCAGCTTTCCTAAATAGAACTCTACATTGTCCAGTCTTCCTAGTTGTTGATTTTTATACTGACTTGAGTTCAAACATTCCATAGGAGGAAGGCACATATAGCTATTAAAGAAAAGAAAACCATATTATGTCGCAGTCAGATTATGTGTGAAGCCTACTGTATTTTGTGATCAGACTCTGCTTATGTATTAGATCAGTGTTTCTCAACCTTAGCAACTCTAAGATGTGTGGACTTCAACTCCCAGAAT